TCATGCTAGAAATAAATGACCGTGCCTTGTATGTACCATGTGGAGCTCACACTTGGAATCTTGTGATCTCAGACGCGGCAAAGTCATCGAAATATGCCGTTGACTTTTTCGGTCTGATTAACAGAATATACGTTATCTTTTCTTCTTCACCTTCACATTGGGATATACTTCAAGAACATATGTCAATATCTGTTAAAGGGTTATCGGACACTCATTGGGAGTCGAGAATTGATGCTGTGAAGCCATTGCGTTATCACCTTGAAGAATTGTGCAATGCTTTGTCATCTTTGTGAGAATATGCGCTCGAAAAGAAAGATGGCAATACAGCAACAGAAGCCGGTGTGCTTTTAGACCATGTTACTACGTGGCCTTTTGTTCTGACTGTGTACATGTGGTACAATATACTATTTCACGTCAATAAAACCAGCAAATTAATTCAGTCACCAGATGTGTCAATTGACGTACTGCAGGCAGAAGTCGGTGCTACAAAGAAGTTTTTGGAAGACTATCGAAATACAGGATATATCTCTGTGGTCACAAATGCACGTGAAATAGCAGAGCATATGGGTATTGAGCAGGTGTTTCCAGAAACCAGGGTGCGACGTAAGAAGAGAATGTTTGATTACGAATGTGCTGATGATTCGAGTCGTCTTTCTGCCGAAGAAAAATTCAAATTGCAGTTCTTTCTTGTTCTCACTGATCAGGCCATATCTTCTGTTTCGTCGCGATTTGACCAACTCGTGGAGTGGTATAAGTTGTTTGGATTTCTGTACAACACTAAGAGCCTGAAGCAGTGTCACAGAGAAAATGAACTGGAGAATCACAGCAAAAATTTTGAAAGAAAAATGGGAGACATTGATGCCAACGAACTCATAATGGAATTGAATCGTTTTATTTATGTCATCGAGAAAGAGAGAGGACTTGTCTCGGCAAACAATTTTTTAATGTACATATACAAGAACAACCTTCAGGAGATATATCCGAATCTTTGCATTTGCATCAGAATTCTTCTGACCACAACAGTTACTGTCGCTGGTGCTGAAAGGAGCTTCAGTAGAATGAAACTGATTAAGAATATCCCACGCTCAACCATGACAGATGACAGGCTTTCTGCGCTTGCAGTTATCTCAATCGAAAACAAAATTGCCAGATCTCTGGACTGTGATGCATTGATTAACCAATTTGCGGAGAACAAGGCTCGAAAGAAGCGCTTTGCGTAAATACGGAATACATGTACACTGTAGGCCTATGTATACATAATATGAACCCTGTATATTGTATAAAATAAATACCGCATTCCAGTTTCTGCATTGTAAGGGGCCCTGCCCGGACATATGTTCGGAGGGGGCCACATTCTTTGTTGCTATGGCCCTGCCACTCCCCATGACTGGGACCTTCTGAACCTGAGCCAGGGAAGTTTCCCAGGGGAAGTCTGGACTCCTGGGTTCTCTTCCTTCTCAGGCAGGGGAGGGAGCGTGGCCTAGGGCTGCAGGAGGGAGCTGTTTGTCCAAGCTAACTGCAGGTCTCAGTCCCTGACCCCACTGCTCTGAATGGGTGAGACTCCCCTGGTGTCCCAGTGCCAGGGATGGCAGTGGAGCTTTGGGAGCAGCCTGTCCTATGAGCTCCTGCCAGTCTGTGCAGATCCCAGTCCAGGGGCCACTTGGTGGGCGTGGGGAGAAGGGAAGTTGCCCAGTTGGGGGGCAGAGAAGTTCATTGGTGAAGGGACGCATTGCAACTCATGGTTCTAGGATGGACATACTAAGAAGGATTCTAAGGAGGAAGTTCAGCAGGTGGCCCTGGAGCCAGAGTGAGGCAGCTGTCAGTGGCCACAGTCAGACAGTGGCCCTTAAGTCCCTGCTGGGGGGAAGCAGCTCCCAGCCAGTCCAGGAGGTGGACATTCCCGACCTTCGTCACCAGAAGGAGACCAGCTCCCAGAGCAAGTGCTGAGGTGGGAGAGGCGGCATCCAGGCTGAGATGGAGGTGGTCCAAGACAAGTTGCAGTTGGCCAAGCAGGAACCAGTGCATGATGGGAGCTGGGTAATGCATCTCTGAGGCTTCTCTTGCTGGAAGGACAGCCCCAGGAACCCCGCCCTGTGGGCCAGCATTACTCTGCCCACTCCCTGGAGACCTCTCCAGGTAGGAGATGGGGAAATCCCTGCCCCAGCAGCTGCACCAGCAGCTCAGCTTGCTCCCAAGGGGATAGCAGCAGCTCCCTGGAGCTTGGAGGCTGCAGGTGAGGAGATCCCTGAGCATGGGGAGGAGTAAAGGGCTGTTCACATGTGCCCCATGGCACTGTTCGAATTCCTGGGGGGATCCCAGCCCAGAGGTCTCACGTGAGCCATGTGAGCCCAATGATGCCAGCAGGAATCGCACAGCTGCCCCATACAGCAGGTATGAGGGGGAGCTGCTGGGAAGTGGGTCCCTGATGCTCTGGGGGTGGGCACCTACCAGGGAGGCTGGGACAGTGCTGGGCCTTCTCTTCCATGGAAGCCTGGGGCTCTGTTGGAGGGGCACTGTGGGGCTTTTTCTGCCATGGGCCTTTATGTGGGAGGGGGGAACATTTTAACCCTTCTCTCTCTGCTGTGCCTCTGTCCTTCCCTTTTGTCCCCCAGCAGCAGCAGGCATCACCCTCTCCCCTTCTCTCTCGGATGCAGTGACCCCCAGTGACCAGTTGCAGCAGGAGGAGGAGACAGATCTGACCACGGAGGAAGCTGCCTGGAAGGTTGTCATGGAGCATTTCCAGGGTGGAGGCAAGGTACAAACATTGCTCAGCTAAGTGGGAACTGAGTCTGTCCTGCTCCTCATTCCATCCTAGATCCCTGCAGGGCAGTTTGTCTGGGACGATCCATAGTCCCTAATAGGGACACTTACCAACTAGGATGTGGGATCCCCAAAAGGGGGCAGCTGGCTGACCCAATCTAGGTTCCCCTCCCTCCACAGACCCTATCCCAGTTCTTGACCAGAGGAGGCACTAGTTACAGCAAAGGGGAGATGAGGATCTTCCCAGCCTTCTCCATGGAGGGAGTAATCCCTAGAGCCAGTTTAGATGGCATGGGGGGGGAGGGGTGTCGTCTCTGGCTAACAGGCTCTCTGTCCCCCTCCCATCCAGGGCTCAGGGTGTGGCTGAGCAGATCCAGTTCCTGCGTGCCATCCCCCAACTCAATGTATTTCACTGCACAGAAGAGTGGGCAGGACTCTCTGGAGCCACCTTACTCCAAAGCAGCCCTGGCAGAGAGGATTGCAGTGAGTGAAACATAGCTCTGAGCATGTGGAGGGAGAACAGGAGACATGGGATGAGGAGCGGGCTCCGTAGGCTGGGGGGCTGGAGGGAACAGCAGAAAGCAGGGATTCTTGGGGCTGAGGACGGGACAGCAGAGAAGGGGAAATTCTGGCATAATCAATAGGGGGCAGGTGGGGAATAATGAGGCTGGAGGGCAGCTGAAGCTCGGGGTAGGGAGGTATGGGGTGGCTCTGAAGGATGCGTGGCAAATTTGAGGAGAAGAAGGAAATTGGGAAGACAGGGCCCAGCAGGACTGGATCCTGTTGTCTGTGGCTGGACGCTGGGCAGCCTCCCTTCTGGGAAGTGCCCTGGGGTCAGTGGGACCTGAATCTCACATGCTGCTTTGTCTCCTTTGAGTCTCCCAGGAGCTGACTTAAGAGCTGCCCTTGGACTCTGCGCTCAGCTCCATCCTCTTCAGCTCCATGGTCGCCGTGTGCAACCTCAGGTACCTGGACCTCCCTCTTAGATCCCCCAGCTCTGGTGCTGCTCAGGCCCAGAGCCGGGAGTCACTGCGCACCTCCACCCCTGAGGTCACCTCCCAGCTATGGCCATTCTCTCCTTTGGCAGAGTGGGGGATGGTCCCTCTCTCCTGGCTGGGTTGGGGATTTCACTGCAGTGATGCTATGATGGCCTTGGTGAGAGGATCACTATAGGGGTCACACAGGAGAGGTAGGAGGGCCCAGCGTGGGGGGTGTAGCAGGGTGGACACCTGCTCCGGCCTAGAAGGGCCTGAGATAGCCCAGGGAGCAGGTAGCATGAAGGCTGAGCTGAGTGAGGGAAGTGGCTGCAATTGGGGCCATGCCCCAATCAGGCTTCAGCTGGCCTATATAAGAGGCTAGGAGCCTGGAGCTCAAGAGTCTCTCTCTGCCTTCAGAGAGAGAAGGGCCTGGCTGCAGGGAGCTAGACAGGGTACCTGAGTGGAGCAGGGCTGGGGAAAGGCTGGGGAGCTCCAGCCTGGATAGCCCCAGGCTGCGGCCTGGTAATAGGCCAAGGGGTACTGGGGGTTGCAGAGGGCAGCCCAGGGCTAGGCCAAGGCAGCAGGTCCGAACCCAACCTTGCCGATGATGAGTGGCCTATACTGCAGTCTGCCCCAGAGAGTGGCGGCTAGCTCGTGACTGGCAGTGGCCTTATTCTGAGGCGAG